ACACACACACACACACACACACACAAGCATACACATACTTACACACACAGAGACACACTCAAACACGTTCACAACACACACGCGCACACACGTATATTTAAAAGAGTTTTTCAGAAGCTACTTTTTAAACTCGCACATAAAGAGTCTATCTCTGGTACATATGTCGTCATCCCATGCCATCCCAACTAACGGCCACATATATGGACACAGTCTTGATTACCTCCTCCGTCATTAGGTTCACCTACGAAAGATAAAACAGGATTTGTACAGTATTAACAGACAAAAAGAATACATCATTTGCAACAATGAGCTCCTAGAGTAAATATGCAACCCATATATTATCTTGCTTACCGTGTGCCCATTTACTGAATGCTCCAAGTGGACTCCCATCGTTGTACACAAAAGTTCCTTCATTGATGATGTCGTCAAGACCAATCCAGATGTCTACTGTAGAGTTGAGGTGATCAATGAGGAACTGATGTTCCCCTTCATCTTTAACTACTACAAGATAACCTCCGCCACTCTCACAGATCTTCCTGGCAGTCATGTAGTCGGCAGACTCGTCGAGCAGGATGTAGCACGAGTTGGAGTATGGAACAGTGTCAGGAGGGCAGCCGTGACCTACGAATACGTACGTGTGGATTAAAAAAAGGACGTTTACATTGCCTACCTGCCTCGCTAGATGTCTTTTCGTTTACTCCAAATATGCCAAGCAACATTAGTTTCAATATACACAACATAACACTAACTACAATTTAATGATCTACGTTGAAACCGAAGTTCATTGTATATGCAGCCTACAGTACAGATGCCTCATGTAACCTGTTGTCAACAAGCTCAAATCAAAAGGCAGTACGACATGCACGTAATTTTTGGCAACTTCTCAGGGGCGGAGGCATTTGTGAAAGTACGCTCGCTATAAAAGAATTTCAAAATTTGCTTTGTATGTGAAATGTGCTATTTGGGCAGATTACTGACTTGGGCACAGAAAATGATTATCGATGTTGTTTTTTTTGCATGGCAGTGAGACAAATGTTACGTTCTCATTATCGGTGACAATGTTGCTGATAAGGATGAACAAAGGGGGTTGGTGTATTTAATAAGTTTTTTGTTTCAATTTAGAACAATACCATTAATGTTCGTTCGAAATCCAAGTATATATTAAATTTTACACAATTTGATTTTGAATTTAGTTCAAAGACTTATTTGGGTTCTTACCCATTGTTTCCCAATCGATAATAAATTGTTTGTACAAAACAGAAAATCTCACGTCTCCCCACATTAACTACAAGACAAAAAACCCATTCAGCTGTCAACATCTTTATTTCGTCAAAAAGTTATGTACATCAAATACACTTTCGTCACAACTTAAGATAAAACATTCAAATGGCAAAAACGACTTTTACATGGGACAAAGAGAGTGTATTTTACATATGTTCCTTAACGTTTGCTGCGCGCACGTTAATGTTGGTAAAATACTCGTACACAAAATAATTTTGGGAATACTGTTGATCTTGTAACAAATTGTTCACGTGGTTGGTGTTTTATACCCCCATTCCACTTACAAAAAGGCCCCCATTCCACTTAGTGGCGCTCTCACGGTGCTCTCTCTGCGACCTGAAATTGGCGAAAGCGTAGTGGAGAGAGCGCCAAACTCCACTAAAACCATGCGTGATATTTAGATTATGAAATCAAGGCTTAAAGGCCCTTAGAGCGCCATACTTGTATGGCGAGTGGTCCGCCATACAAGGACTACAAAAGATAGAAACTGGAAGTTCTGCTGCAGTACCAAGGTCATCCACCAGGAGGCCCATACTTGACCTTGACATTTATCGTCCTAAGGCTTCTTAAAGGACCAAATATCATTACATTTAATAAAGGCGTTTTGAAGTAATGCTCATTACAAATTTGCGGAAACACACACGGACAAACACACACACACATGTACACACACAGGCACGCAAAAAAAAAACGAACGCACAAAAAAAACAATACCTCTATATTTCATAGAGGTAATAAATATAATTCACGACCGTGTTTCACTATATTTTTTTTCAAAGGACTAAAGTAAGTATAGTGTGGAAGATACCAGACTGAGTGTACTGATACATTCCATTATTATTATAATTATGGGTTCACCACACCACGAAGTGGTGTGGTGAAACCATATTGCTTTTTCTGATGTTTCTTCTTCTCCTTCTCCTCCTGCCATTTCTTTAAATGGATTCAGCTTCTTCATTTTAGGGCCTAAGGTCCTGAAATTTGGTATGGAGGTACAGTGGGCAAATACCCCTAGGCGTTTTTTTATTTTTGTGATACAAGCTTTTACAATCGTTTTATTTGCTTTTTTAGCGGTCCCCATAGGAAAGTACTGTGCGGGGGCGTACGCGCGTGACGTAATAAGAAAGAAATTCGGCGGCATGCCCATATATGGGCATGCAAGCATGAACCTGACGCAGCCTAATCTTTTCTTCTTGCTGATTGGCTGTTGGATTTGATTGGATTAACTCAATTAACACCTGTTCAAAGCCATTCCATTTTGACAGTATGAACTCAAGTGTTTTGGTAGGTACAGCACAGGCCACGAAATACGCATCAATTTTCGAGGGACGTTCTGCGGGAGAGTGCAGGACGCTGTGCGGGACTTCCCTCGGGAGAGTGCGGGACGTCCTCCGGGAGAGTGCGATACGTTCTGCGGGAGAGTGCGGTACGTCCAGCGGGAGAGTGCGGTACGTTCTGCGGGAGCCAGACATTTTGCTCTTCTCTGTTGGAACAACGCAAGTTGGAGGTCAATGACCTGCGCCCGGCGTGTAAACAAGATTGGACAGGGAGCGGCTGTAATATCAAAGGAGCCGGCGGCTTCTGCTAGCCGGGTTGATAGTTAAGTAACATCAAGGTGGTTCAAAAGCAAACCTGATAAAGAAGGAAACCCCGTAGTTAATAGTTGAAAGTCTTGGTGGCTTGAGGCGATCGATACCGCCATGCTGTTTACTTTTTATGACATACAATGCAGTGAGTGATGTGTATCGCACCGAGTTAGCTCGGTTGGAAACGCGCAAGGCGGCAATCCCAGGCATTGCAAGTTCGAACCCCAGAGCATCGGACATAAATATTTTTAGCAATTTAACATTTTTAACAATTTTATCAGTTTTAACAATTTTATCAGTTTTAACGATTTTAACAATTCTGCATTTTAACAATTTCAACATTTTTTTATTTTCGTTGTTTTGCTTTTAACATTCAAAAACTGATTGTTCTTACTCAAGAATGTCAATAACTTAGAATGTTAGTCTTTTGTATTTTTCCAACATACAAACTAAAATTACTTTGATGTTGTCACAAAAGTATTGAGCTGACAAGAGAGAAGGAGTACGGTACTCTGCCAGTGTGAAGAATCTACAGAGGTATTACCAGTCACTAGTAGCAAGAGATAGACCACATTGAATGATGACGATGAGGACGAATCATATGAAGTACTATCATAGCTAGTACAGAAATTCTACTGCTTTACTTTACTTTCTTTCACTCTGTACATGCAATTAGCTCACTGGCATGATTTTAAAAATAAAGGTTATGATAATCATATTATATGTATAGCTTATTCAATGTATGGCTTCATAGTTTATGTGATTGTTAATAACACCTGCACAGAGCATTTCCATACTGACAGTATGTCTTTATTCAAGTGTTTTGGTAGGTATTTCAAGCTTTTCTGCTCCAGCATTGGAATGCGGGGCATGAACGTTTTTTTTTATTTTGAAAATCAACAGTTTGCATTATGCAATTAAAAATCCTAACCAATAAAGTAGGGAATAGCTATCCAACTGTTGTTTTAGTTGTATGTTACTTCATATTATAGTTATATCAATGTAAATCATTGTTTTCCCTTGTGTTTCTCATTCTTTCCCTGCCATGTCGTAAAATGTGGTGTACCCATCGCTGTATTTGCTCCAAAGCAAATATTGGCCTTTCTAGTTGTTACTGTATTACCTACCCTACCAACCAAGTCCCATGTAGGATCATAAATTAAAAATTTCTAGGAATGACAACATTAATATATTATTTTGCCTAGGCCTAACTCATTTTGGCTTTCCTTGCCGTACTGTATCAAAAATTCATGTTAATTTACAAATGTACGCACATGATAAGAACATTACAAGTTCTCAAGAACAGAATAGACAAACACAAAAAATCGTCGCCTGTGTTTAAAAAAAAAAACTGTATAATTGTTGGCATTTGAAGGAATGTTTTAATGAGTTTGGTATTTTACAGATAGAAAACGGTTTGAATAGTTTAATCACGTACACCGACGAGTATCCATATATTGAATGATCTTGCATCTCTGACTTTTCCTCAGTCTCTTCTGATCTAAATTACTAAGCTTTGGATGACGTCAAATTGGGGCTTAATTCTGGTGCAATGCTATGTTATACTAAATTTAATTTATCACTTGATGTCTTAACAAGCAACTGCAACATAACTACAACAGTTGTGTACTTACTTCCTATTTCAGGTGCAGCTGTAATAGACATATTTTTGCAATGATTTGTGGTTTCATCATCGAAGGTGTTATGTTCGCACATTTCTGGAAGTTGTAAGATAAGAAAGCATTCTTGTTAATAATAGTTGTCGAACATAGTTTAAAAAGGAGATTTATGACATCAGAATGTTAATTAAAAACTTACCACTGTGGACAAAGGGCATATACAATTTATAACATTTGTGTTAGGATAGACAGAGATAGGCAGAGATCCCGATTAGAGTCTCTGCCAACAAAGACTCTAATAATGATTTCTGTCGGGAGAATCACCGTTTTACCGTCAGATAGGAGGATGTCTATTGCTTTAACACTTAATATTGACCAATTTATGCTAAAAATTAAAAATTCAAAAGCATTTCTACTACATAACACGACATTATTGGAATAGTCTCTGCATGCCATTAAAACTAAAAATTTTGCAACGCTATACGTGTATGATGCTGAAGATCAATCGCAATTTAGACCAGCAGAGACTCGGATCAGGTTCTCTACCCACAGGGATTTTACTCTCTCTCTCTCCTCCCCCTCTCTCTATATATATATGTATACAGAAAGAGAGAGAGATGATATATATATATATATATATATATATATATATATATATATAGAGAGAGAGAGAGAGAGAGAGAGAGAGAGAGAGAGAGAGAGAGAGAGAGAGAGAGAGAGAGAGAGATAGATAGATAGATAGACACACCTTGGCATTCCTCAGCTGACACCGCCCTTGGATGGTAGGTTGCCGTTCCGTTCAGACAAGGCAGACAGGATATCTGGGCTTCTTTGTCCTGGTAGAACCCTGGTGGACAGTCTGTGCATGATGTACCATTAGAAAAGGTTCCCGCTGGGCAGCTCACTGTAAACACGACCAGCAGATTAAAGTTCACTCTATAATTCGTTTGGGCTGAACTAACGACGAAAACAATGCTGTCAATGCTCCTTTACTAGAGTATCACTAGAATCCCAAGATCACTAGATTATCCCTCTACAGATAATGTCAACATTTACGACTGACGAATGGTTCTAAAGGATTACGCAAATGCTTAAGATAAACCTTATTTTTAATTATACCATATATTCAGCCCAATGACAGTCATATCATGGCAATCTACCAAAATCCCCCCCAAAACGACCCGTCGATTGGTTGTAAAGCTATTCTTTTTTGAACATTTAAAGCAAAGGATCGTGCAGCTAGATCAAGCTGCTAGGGGCCAAAACTAACGTCACTTCCACCTGAGCACAAAAGATAACTACCATGCGTTGTTTCAGATCCTAGCATGTCTCTATTCTAACATATAGAATCCTGAAGGTTCACTGCAGTACCATGAAATGCCATCAGTTGCCAAAATCTAACCATCTCTAGGTCTCATCAAGGTCCACTTACCTACCAAGTTTTATGACGACTTATCTATACCTTCTTGAGTTCATACATTACCCACATTTCTGAAGACGTACACTACATAACCTCCTTGGTGAAGGTAAAAAAAAAAACAATACACTTACAGCAAGCTGAATCTTTGAGCACACGTCCTTGGCTGCACACCAATACTGTCTCTCCTATCTTGAAGGAGCCAGGGATGGTGGAAATGGTATGGTTACCTACTGAAATATTGAACGCTCCATTCATGATCGTATTTTCGATGTCCAACACAAAAAGACCCATCTGTGTTGTTGCAGTCTGGGAAAAAGACCCGTTGAAGGAAGAGCTCTAGAAAAAAAACACAAATATTCTGTCTATAGTTCACAAAAATAATGTTTTGATTAAATATTTCGAGATACATGTACATAACATTGCTATGACAGATGCCATTGTACCTACGGTAATATAATAGGTCATACAATGTCTCGTTTCTGTCAGTAATACAATAATATAGGTAACTGAAGCCTCGAGCTTTAAGGTCTCATTCATGAGTTTTTTCCATACATTAGAAACCATGCATTAATGAGTGACTTACGAGACCGTGTTCCCTATGATCCTACATTAAATCAATCGATATCTTTCATGCTATGTTGAGCACACGTACTCTACATCTCATAAAAAAATTGCCAACGACTTCTATACACACAATCCCCTTTTATGGGAAATACAAACTGCACCTAGTGGCTGCCCGCAAGAGGCCCTCCCACGGTGCAAACCTACGACCGCACAACTCACAACACTGGACTGTGCACGTCCGACCTAGCGCGCGGCTGCCGACAATTACGTCCTAATTTCATCAGTTACAAACAAGCTTTCACCGCTTTGACGTTTTACATCAGTTGGGATGGCTAAAGGGGAAATTCTCACCAATAAAAACACTCGTTCATACAGCCGTTTAGTTTTTGACTTGGCACTTTTTAGGGGGTACACTCGGAGTAATACATGAATGAGACCTTAATTTTCTACTATAGGAATACGTTGTTTTATTGATTATGCAAATTGAGGCTTTATGAGGCTTTATATGCATAAGTAATATTAATTAATGTGTCATTCTTTCTCAGATAGGTATGTAAATTTTAAATTTCTCTTATGAAAATCAGTCAATTTGAACTCTTGATCAATTGACTGATGTACACAGTGTTATCTTAAATTCAAGACATAATGTTAACCCATTTTGGAGTTATCACCTAAATTCTTAAAACAAATTTATACCCTGTTGTAACAAAATCTCATTGGCCCCAAAAACACATACTGCATGTAGGCCAAGAGCTACATGTATCTACAATTAAATTTAAAAAAATGACCATACTATGTCTAGAACATCACAGGTGACCAGAAAATATAATCCGTTACCATGAAGAGGCAAAACAATGCAATTCAAAATGTAGCTAGCTACAATTACGCCTACCCATTAAAGTAACAGAATTTCTAAAAAAAAGGCTGGAGGTGCATGAGGCTAGTTAATTAAAGGTAGATTTAAGATAGGAAAAATTCATCAAAATTCATATACAGTATGTTTGATCAGTAAGACTGGATAAAACCTCGTGGCAATATGCAAATACTATTTTCATTATCGAACAAACAATTTCCCTTATCAGTTGCGATAATAAGTTGTTATTTTCCAAAGACGGATGGAAATCACCATACGAATAATTGTTTTGGTTTTCTTAATGCCCATCAGCCACATGGTGATCTACATCATTCACCCGGACGGAGGCCTGGCGAACCCCGTCAGCCAAATCTTGGAGAGGAGATAGGCGCCGCCAAGATTATAAGCCTGAGGAGTCATCGTGACAAGTCCAGACATGCTGCTGGCTGTCATGATGCCCCTACGGCCGTGAAGGCTATGGGACTTACATACATACATACAATGCCCATCATGGGCATTCTCAATGCCCATCATGGGCATTAGTCGCATTTGCTGTATTGCAGAAGTTTGTTGGACTGAAACGAAAGTGTCAAGACATGAAAACATTTCAAGTGTTTATCATTAATCGCACAAACCTCCTTCAGAGTAATCACTACATCAAAGTCTACGTTGATAAAATAGTGAATTTTTCTTGCTCCATCCGTGGAAGACGTCCCACATGACACATGAACGTTGTCTATGTTGCATTCTGCCTCGTCCATACAGAACCCTTCTGCTAAGAAATTTAGCATCTTGGCCTGCTCAACAAAGTTCTGCCGGATTTTTTCTGTGTCAACAGCACAGTCACTTGTGTAGTATTGGACTTGAAAAGGACCAACTACCCCCGGTGATGAAGTTCCTGTGTAAATTTAAAAAGAAGAATTGAAGGCAAAATGTGTTGAAGGATTTAATTTATAATTTATAATTTACATTGGTAGGTTAAAACCCTGTACTTACTTGTGCAGTCTGGCCAAGGAAAGATGATTCCTTGAAAACTAGGGAAAAGTGAAGACCATCTCCCTCCCCCTTCCTCCTGTTTGCAGTAGTAAAGTGATTCTGGCTCACGGGCAAATCCAAAGTCACGGTTACAGGACACTGAGCAGAACTGGCCTCCTAACCACGTGTCACAGGCAAGGGCGCCATTACGTGGTGGAGCTTGGTAAGGGCAGGCGTGTTCTACAGGAACATAAAATAGGATTTGTTACTGTGAATCAATCGCATTCCCAATGCTATGGCTGTAAGTTACGTTAAAATTTAGTTCTTTATTAGTAAACTTTCAACTTCATGGTTACATTTGTTTCTTTCGTACCAAAAATATGAAGAGAGCATGCAACTTATCCCTTTAAGACTACAAAATGCTTCCTTTTAATGTATAGCAAAACATTTATTAATTCAACCATTCCTTATTTCTTCAATGAGCCATAAATATATACTACGGATCATATGTAAATCATTTATTCAACATAAAGTTTGCGATATCATGTCATATTCGGAAAAAAATTCCCAGCACATGCCTGTAGCAGATTTATGCTGTGTGCATGAGATTAAAGTAAGTAAAGATCTTTAGTAGATGCTTACGCTTTACAATAACTGTAAAATTGCAGAAGCCTGTGTTTCCAGCATTGTCCCTGGCGATGTAATACACGAACTGCGGGGATCCCCAGTAGAACAAGGACCCTGGAATATGTGATCTGTGTGCATATGTACATGTATATGCGAAAAGAATTAATTGCACGTCAATTGTAACTAAAAATAAGTTGGTCTTATTAAACAATAAAAGGATGTGAAACATGAAACAGTAAATTCATTTCATACTCAAATGATACATACTACTTTTTATTTATGACTAAACGGTATTAGTCTTCTAAAAATTGTTTACTACCAATAGTTGAAGAGAGAATTTTACCTAAATATGTCTGCTATGTCTCCACTGTTGTCTGACCATGTTGGTTCAACCCAATCAATGATCTTCTCTCGGTTTGCAGAATATACAGAGATATCAGCAGGGCAACCTTGGCACACAGGATCCATTGAGTCTAAACGTCAGAATACAATGTAGTACATGTGTAAGACCGGCCCAAAAAGTCATTTTTTTTTTCAAAAATTATCTCACCGTAACATTGCATTAGTTTGTAAAAACGTCGGCATAAAATTTTATTTATTCTTAGTTGTTGAAGTACAAGGTTTATCAATGACTTAAATTAAGGAATTAAAAAGAACATCCTTTTCGAAATATATTTTTATTCAATAATGTTATTCAATGTGGCAAATTTAAACAAAATGATTGAATGATTTGAATAATTCAAGATGGCGGCCCTGAGCTAGGTGTGTGATTGTGTGCTCCAAACAATTTCGACTTTCCACGCGTATTTGACCCACGTAGAGCTCGAACTGGTCTCTGCCTGTTGTGGGCCGAACTCTTATCGAGAATTTTTGGATGGGTAAGAGAACTAGGCGCTCGGAGGGGTTCTAGTAGCGCAGATAGAAAGTAGCACATCTACTAAAAGCACGCCCCCACCCAAGACACTAAAGATGGCGTCGGTTAAGGGTAGCGAGGGAAGTTTCCAGTCTCTGTCACCGGAATTACAGACGCTCGCGCAGCTAATCCTGAAACAGACTCAAGAGCAACAGGAGACCCTTCTAGGTCAGTTTCAAGACGTCGGGGTAAAACTCTCAAACCAAATTCGCGCTCTGGACAACAAAGTCGAAGGTCTGTCTGCAGACTTAACCAAGTTACGCGTGCGTGTGGGAGCCACCGAGAAGGCCGCGGAATTTCAAACAGCGGAAATTCAGGATTTACGCAGTGCTTTGGTCGAGGAACGCCGCGAAAGAATGAAAGCAGACCTACTGGCCGAGCGGTACTCTAGGAAAGCGGATATAATCATTCGGGGTCTGCCATATAGCCAAGACGAAAACTCGGAGCAGATATTTGCGGGATTCCTGACCGAAAAGCTTCACCTGGATCCGGTGCCGTTTGCAGCTGTTCACCGACTCTCGAAAGCCAACAAAAAACACGACCAAACCCACCACTGCTTGCCAGGCTTCTAAACTTTAATGATCGAGACCGTATCCTACGGGAGGGCAGGAAGTTACGTGGAAACAAAGATGGCTTAGCGGTTTATGAGCATCTTCCACCGCCTCTGCAAGCTGCGAGAGCCAACCTAGTTCCAGATCGAGAAGCTGCGCTAGAGAAAGCTAAAGGTACGGGTACTAGAGTGTCGATATGGGTGCCTCCAAAGGCTACGTACGCTGTGCTACTTGTGAATGGGCAGGAAAAGAAGCGTGTTGACGCTGTAGATCTAATGTTGTCAACAAAGAAGAGATCACTGCCGAACACATGAGAGCTAATCTGTTGTATTTTTTAAGAGACTGAAGTTATTAAACACGCACTACTTTCTCTTTGAGACTTTGGTGCTTCTTTGCTGTGTAATCAATGAATCCATAATGTGACAGAACTGAATGAATGCTTTATTTTCTTGGTGCAAGCTACAAGACGTGGCAAATATGCGGCTGGTTTGAATCCTTGAATTTTTGAAATGCTAATCAGGTGAAAACAGGCATTCATGGAAACACCTGTTACGCGATGCTGCTTCTTGGCTTCTGATTGGCCTCAAACCCAGCCATCGCATGTTTGTCACAGCCGTATACAGTAAAATTTGATTAGTTGTTCTGAGTGTTATGTTCACATTAAGTTGTTTCTTTTTTATATGTACCTTGAGTTGCACCAAACTTGTGATTATGTTATGCTACCTGAGTTCATTTAAGTTGAAATGTTCTTTTTTTGTGGAATGATTAGTGTGATACTGATGATGGATGGAGCACATGAGATTAAGTAAGGGCCTCTCATTTATAAGAACTTATAAGAGCTTAGACCTTTGTTTACGTTAAGTTATTTGTACTTTACTTTCAATTGGCTTTAAGCAAGAAATGTTCT